TCTCTCTCTCTCTCTCTCTCTCTTTCTCTCACTCTTTTTTTCTCTCACTCTCATCTATTTTTGTTTACGCTCTTTCAGGGTCCCAGTAGTCCCACCACAAGCCCCTAAGAAAGGGCCCAACCCAAAACCCTGCAACCCACGCATCTGGCCAGGAACAAATCAGCAGATTCGGGTGCCCAAGATCAGGAAACCCTTGTTCCCCCCTCCAGGCTACATTGCTCCAGAAGACAAAGTGCCCCCCAAGGCTCCCCGCGCACTTAGGATCAGGAGACCAGCTCTCAGTAGGAACCAAGCGAGCCGCGCCCTGGTCAAAAACCTCTTCAATGAAGGTTATTTCGATCAAGTCTTTGAGCAAAACCAGCAGGACAACCAGCATGACCATGATAACCGTGATAACCGTGATAACCAGGACGAACAGCCTGCAGACCCAAGACCTGTAAGTTCTTAACTTTAACTGAACGATTGCTATCAATCAGTGTATCGTGTTTTCTGTTAAGTGTGTCTTTGTTTATTGTGTGTCCGTGAGTGCGTGTCTGTTGTCGCGTGTGAGTTTATTAATTATTGTGTATGTTTGTTTGTTATCGTGTGTGTTTGTTTTTGGTTGTGTGTGCTTCTTTATGGGATTTTTTTTTTGGCATGTGTTATAAATTGCTTTGGGTGGTTGGCGGGTCAGCTGGAGTGGTTTTCTCCTTCTTTCCTGTCACACATCTATCGTTCTTATCTCCACTCCTTTTTTATGTTTGTTACTCTCTTGTAACACTTCTAATCTTCTGGCGCTCATATGACCTTATGCGGCTGCAAGCGCCGTAAAACCTCTACTAAAACAAGCATTAATTGCAGTATTGAATGTGTCTGTGTGAGTTCATTGGGGAGAGTGTTTGTGTTTTTCTACGAGTTCCTTCAATGCGAGACTTAGAGAGCTCAGTATAGATGTGAACCCCTCGTGGTAAGAGAAAAACGATGGAGGAAGGTTTGAACCTATTATGTACCATGTGTTTTACGAGCTCGTTTTTTTAATTGCATGTACAGTGCATCTTGGTTTTTAAAAAAAATCTTACTTAGATCTACTTACATCTTCAGACTTATGTACATGATGTTCGTATATATGTGCATCTCTCTCTCATACTCAAATATTTTCTCTCCCCCCCTCTCTCTCTCTCTCTCTCTCTCTCTCTCTCTCTCTCTCTCTCTCTCTCTCTCTCTCTCTCTCTCCCCCCCCCCCCCCCACAAATTTAATCAAATTGCCGAAGTTCTTTTTTGGTACAGTATTTTTAAGAATGCGTTTAAGAGTAAGAATTTCTTGAAATAATATATTAATCAAATTTCACTGTCTGTGTCATCTCGTCTGTACCAAAAAGTCCATCATTGTCCCAACAAAATACGGGGGACATTTCATTCACTTTCACCAACCTTTCAGGACTGAACATCCGTATTTGTAATTCCCAAAACTCGTCTTACACACTATGAAACAACAAAACCCACGCACACTAAGAATAAGATCCCCTCTTTGCGTTATTTGAAATGCATGTATTTAAATAGACAAGAATTATAACTAGCGTTTATCTGACATTTTGTTTGTATCTCTTTTTCCCTCGGCAGAGTGACCGCCAGGAAGCTCCGTGTTCAGCTTAATCTGGAGATGATTTGTTGATTTGTTTTACTGTTTTATTGCAATGTGTCTGTAAATATTTTATTCTTATTTCTGCCTGTTTCATTTTATTTCTATATCATTTATGAAATTAAGATTTCCGAGTTGGAGTGTCGACAGAGAACTGTTGTGTTCTTTTGCTTTCCTTTGGCAGTAAGGCTATGGCCAGTGTCATTGTGGGTCGTTTCAGACTTCTGCTGTCGAAACTCGACTCTCTTGGCCTTTGGTTTGTTCCTTTGCACAGTGCATGTCTAGGACAACCATAAAGTTAGGCCGTAATGCCTATCATTATCTTGTGTTCTCTTATTGTAGGGGACAATTTAAAGCCTTACTTACATTCCATCCCCAGCCGTTTCTCTTGGACTGCAAAGCTCAGCACGTATTCTTTGTCAGACTTTCCAACACAAGCTTATAGACTTTTTCTAACATGCTAGCTTATCCTACGAAACCACTGATAATATGTAAAATTATATAGGTTCGATGACCCTTTTAATGTTATAAGGTTAGTTAAAAAGGCAACACCTTTAAAATTAACGTCCGTTTCCGAAATGCCAGATCCAAATGGGTTTTTTTCGGGCAAAAGAGCCCTTCCCAAAGACATAGCCTCGGATCGAGGTGAGCATTGAACCCCCGAACCATCAAGCTAATGGTTACGGGTTTGGAACCCTAACAATTAGACTAACGCCACCTAAAGAGCAGTCGTCCCAACATTTTGAGGCGAATATCTCTCCCACCCAATCTTGACAAACCTATGTTCTTGTTTTCTTTTGCATGGGAATAGACCTTGAATTATATTCATATAAGAAGAACTGATGTACCCCAAAATCTTTGTTGAATTTCGTGTGGATCTACATTATTCAGGAGAGGAGTAGAGTTGCACTTTTTTTAAAAGCCAAAGAGCTTTCATTGCTTTTACTATGCTCAATCCCAAAATAATCTTAAACACTGACAATTCTGCTGTTTGTTTCTCCCAAAGTGCCATTGGATCAACTTTACTCTATGCATGGATGTACAACTGATCTCAAAGAATTTATTTCTACACATGTGTAAATAGAGTTATTATTCCAATGAGTGCAACTGGTCTCAAAAATTATATTTCTACGAATTTATATACAAAGAGACATTCTTATATTATTAGTGTATACCGATATTTTTTTTAACGCCATACAACGATTTCTTCCCATTCGTGCATACAATAATTACAATGTGCGCACGCATCTCCTTGTTGCCATACCTTAACCCTTCACTTTGACTTACACAAAATACATTTTGGGAGTTCTACATTTGTGCCACATGGCTTTGTAATTGATGTACGTTCTAGTCTAGAACACTTACAGTGTGATTATACGCAAAGTACATTATGTATGGGAGTTCTACCTTTGTACTTCATGACGGCTTTGTATATTTGAGAACGTTCTAGTCTAGTTGGTTGCCCTAAGTTCTCCGTCTTGTACTGTGATCCCCCTAGTGTCATTTGCAAAAGATCAGGCATGAAGAGTTCCATTGTGTGCTATGTTTGTGAATGATAAACTGGTTTTCCCTGCCACTATAAACTCTTGATTATCATACACGGTAATTATTATTATTATTATTATTATTATTATTATTATTATTATTATTATTATTATTATTATTATTATCATTATTATTATCATTATTATTATCATTATCATTATTATTATCATTATTATTATTGTTATTATTATTGTTATTATTATTATTATATTATTATTATTATTATTATTATTATTATTATTATTATTATTATTATTATATCTTTAGTTTGAAGAGGACTGCAAAAAGCGTAGATTTGCTAAATCATCACTTGGTTCTCTCTCTCTCTCTCTCTCTCTCTCTCTCTCTCTCTCTCTCTCTCTGTGTCTCTCTCTGAATTTGGAAGTGAAGGACTTTTTAAAAGGTAGCTAAATCTTCAGTATGTGTGTGTGTGCGCGCATCTTAGAGTGAAGAAAGAGCGTTGTTTTTTTCCTGTATAGAAGCTGATGAATGGATACATTATTTTCACTTGTTCTGCCTCGGGATTGAAATGCGCAATACAAAGCATAGGATTCAATATTCTGGTGATGAAGTTTATTATAAATTAAGTAGGAGTTTTCTGAAATATCCCTAAGGTTATTCAGAAAAGAAAGTGTACATGTATTAAGGAGTGCAAGATTATATACGTATTATATTTATTGGTTTGAAACGCACGGGACGCTGCACAACACTGTTGAGTTACTTCTGACAGCCCTGACATGCTATGTACATGGGTCATGTGTGATTCTACATAGATTAAAATAAATCATTGTTGAATACAATAACAGTTTCTGAGATACAAAATTGTGTACATTCTGATATATCATTATGAGGTGGTGAACGATGAATAATAATATGGTGTTCTGAAATTACTAAGGTCTTTCAAACCTCTTTTGCAATAACGCGTTTTAGAAGCGACACCAATGACATAATTCCACCAATGTATATTCAGTATAGGTTTTGTCTTTGTACATCGTATAATTTTTGCTTCTTTCTTTAAACCAAGTTTGGTTTCATATGATTGAATGTTTTGTATGCTTTTTTTTTTTTTGTACTCTGAAAGAAATCCCAAAATTTATGTCCCAATCGACATGCTTTAGATACAATTTTAAGAGGAAGACTACTTCGACTGTGCCTGCCAGGGTCAACCCGGACTGAGACTGAGAGGGATACAACGTCCCAGCAGTCAGACAAAAAGACTCGACTATAATATAGAAAGTGTAATAGATAGCATTTTTAAAACAACACACACGCTCTAAAGAAATGTTACTTTACAGTCTTTTAACTAGCCTATATGACTCCAGATTTATGTATAGTGCCTTTCCCAATGACACAACGCTGGACCGAGTTGGGCTAGAACCCATAAACCCGCAATCTTACGATTACGGGTCTGGTAGCCTAATCACTACCTACGCAACTTTAAGATAGAATAAGTTTTTGACTTTTATTATGTAGCAAAAGATTGAAAATCTTGATTAGATTTATTTTGAAACAAAACACAAATTGAATATTTTGTACTGAAATTATTACAATCTGGCACAATGTGGTATACACATGTTTATTTTGTTTTTTATTGTATATAATGTAAAAATGTTACACAAATTTTGTTTAAAATAAAAGTTTTCTCTCGAAATTTCCTGTATTGGATTTGGATTCATTCCGTTCCCAGTGTTTTCGTCGTTACGTTTACCTGCTTGCTTCACATGTTTTCATTTTGTTTTTGTTTCATTTACGTTACAGTCTCTTCTGTTTCTTAGTTGCTTTCTCTTCTGTTTGTCGTGTTTGTCTGTCTTTTCTGTTTGTTTTAAGTCTACTGTCTGTTTTCTGTCTTTTATCTACCGCCTGTTCTGTCTGTCCACTATTATCACTTCTCAAACTTTCTATTATTTTTTTTATTAACAATTTTTTTTTTTTTTTTTGGGGGGGGGGGGTCAATCGTCTTTTTAAAAAAAAAACCCTACTATATTTTTCTGTCCTCTGTCTACCGTCTCTTTTGTTGTGTTACTTGTATACTCGCTTCTGGTTGTCTTTTCTATCTGCTATCTCACTCTGTGTCTGTGAGTGGTTGGTGGGTGCTCTGGTGTGGTTTGCTTCTTCTTTCCTATCAAACATCTATCGTCCTTATCTCTCCCTTTATTTTGTGTGTGTGTTACTTTCTTGTAACACCTAATCTTCGGCACTTATGTGACCCTATTGTGTTGCAAGTGCCGTAAAACTCCCACAAAAGCACCCCCCCCAAAAAACAAAAAAAAAAAAAAAACAACCCAACCCCAACTCAGTGTCTCTTCTGATAGACCTTCTTTCTTACCAAAGTATCGTCCTTATCACACCTCCTCCTTTTTGTCTTTATTACTCTCTTGAACACCTAATCTTCAGCACTCTATTGTGTTGCTAGTCAGGTAAAACAGGTTTAAAAAAAAAAATTAAGCCGTTGGAGAGTCTATATTGGAATAAACAATACAAAAATAAGCTACACAGGAGTGTCATGCCCAAAACAGGGTCCTTGAAAAACCTTGGGGCTTCTCCAGAAGAAACGAAGTGGAGGCTCTCGAGGCCCAGAAAGTAAGGTGTTCGCCTCTTCTCATTCAAAGGTCCCGGGTTCGAATCCGGGGAAAGAATGTGAAAGGAGAACACTTTCTGTCCCCATTGTTTTGTGCAAGAAATATTACGAAATTATGCAAAATGAGCCCAAAAATGTAAAATTATGCGATTCTGTTAATTTAACAAAGAATGATAACGGAAAGCAATCAAAAATTAAGCAAAAAATGATCAAATTTTGCTAAATTATGCGGGGTGCATAAAACCCATGGGACAGCACTTTAGAGAAGATTTTTCGGTGGCTATCCGGATTCGAACCCGCGACCTATTGAATGAGAGACGAAAATCTCTTGACCACGAGAGACCCCTTTTTAACCTTTTTTAAAAGCTGACCATGAATCTTAAAAGAAATCAAGACGTGCTGTGAACTGTTGTGAATGTAACCAACTTGTATTTTGCTCGCAATATGACCGTACGTAGATCTAGGTGCGAGCACCGTAGAACTCTCATTAAACTAAAACAATAGAACTTGTTATGATCGCCCTTCTCATCTCTCCAAAATTAGTTACATATTATGGGCTGTAACCTCGAAGTGTTAAGGGCTAAAACCTAATGAATTGCCCAAAACCAGGATGGGAAAATAAACTGTACCCCGTGTACTAGATCTATGTGTCATAGTATGAAAAACCGTGGGTTGTCAACCATTTCATTTGTGCTTTTAATCTCAAGGCAATCGAATAGTTATTGATTCGATTCCAAGGTTCAGCGAAAATGATAGTAGTAGTAGTATCGCTGGGAATGCACTTAGCAATGAGTACTTTCTAACACCCCCCCGACAGTTTACCAACTGAAAATGGGTATCTCCGCGTAGTATAGGCCCCTGTATTGCTACCAATGTTTTAAAAATGTATTGATGTTGGTTTTTGCTGTTGTTTTTGTTGTTGTTGTTGTTGTTGTTGTCGTAATTTACCTCTATCGACAAAATTTTGATAATTAAGTAAGGAGGCGGGCTTCCGACACGGGCTGAGAGGAATGCAACATCCCAGCAGAAAGAACGAGATACTGGATACATTAAATTTAAAAATTTCCCCTCTTGAGAATCGAACTGGGGTCTTCGGTGTGCAACGGCCAAGCGCCCATTCCCTACACTACTGACGCTGGCTTTGTGATCAGTAGACTAGTGGAGTTGTGGTGAAATAGAATATTTAATTTAATGACTTTCCGAGCTACTACTAGTTAACCCAGTACTACGACCACAAAGCTGTGCGCCTCTGGGGTCATTGAGAGATGAAAAAATTGAAATACCTTCAGTTAGCTGAAGGCGGAAAAGAACCCTGTTAAGTTAAAGGATTTTTACAATGGAACCGAAAACGTAAAAATAAGTGTGTTAGCTAGTGCCATAATGAGTATTTGGTAGACGTTTTAGCGAATCAGCAGAGAAATAAAGCATACACTGTGTGGTAGGAATAGAAAAAGAACCTAATGGCAAAAGGGGAAAGGAGTTCTCAGGATCCAGTTTTATTCATCTGTTTGGTATGCTTTATGTTGCTTAATAATCCGAATTGCTACACACCATCACGTTAACTTTCCTTTTTGTTCAACAGTTAACAAAATACAATGGCTCAGCAAAGCACAGCGCGCACCTGCTATTGGTACGTCGTTGTTTATTTTAAAAAATGTTACGTGTATTAACAAGCTTTCGATCTTTTTGTTGTCGAAAATAACGTTTCATGTCTACCATGGGGCTAAAACCTTTTCATTTCAAGGTTTCAACCGTTTCGCATCAGTACGGAGTCTACAATATAAGTAGATAATTGTTATATTATTATCCTTGAATTTTATCAGTCCGCATTGGCCCTGACAGGTAGAGTCGAAGCTACCTGCCTCTTTAACTGTCTATATTGTGTAAAAACATGTTATTACTACTACTACTACTACTACTACTACTACTACTACTACTACTACTACTACTACTACTACTACTACCACTACCACTACCACTACTACTACTACCACTACTACCACTACCACTACTACTACCACCACTACTACTACTACTACTACTACTACCACTACTACTACTACTACTACTACTACTACTAGGGAATAGTGTAGAATTCTGTGGTTGGGCACAACTTGCTCACGGCCCTCCGAGGTTTTTCGTCCTGATACGAAAGGCTAGATGTCTGATCATACCTACCCTAAGATAAGGGGTGTGGCTGAAAGACAGCAGTAGCAAGAAACCACAGGTAGTAACAGAAAGAGTCAAGAGTAAAAGAGAGAGGGAGCATAGAAGAGGGGGGTTAGAGGAGAGGGGAGTCGAGTGGAGATGAAAGCAAAGGAGAGTACATGTACATGTACAGTACATTGATACAGTACTGGCAGGGAAGGATATACATTTGTAAAGGGAGAAAATTTATTAGAGAAGGGAAAATAATTGATTGAAGCTGTGAGGTTTCGAACCCGGAACCTTTTGGGTGAGAGGTGAGCGCCATTCCCCAACGAGGCCTCCCCAGCTGAAGATTATTAATTTTGTTCGAAGTTGTGTTGAGATTTGTGCAAA